GTCATGCAAGGGTGGAACGTCGAGCACTCTCATTGGTCAGAACATTTTCTAAATTGATTACTGACGTAAGTGTGACATTAATGTAAATTTGTTCTGTTTTCACAAGTTTCACGTTAAATCGAGTTTTAGAACCGTCTACGTGTTGTCAACCAAAATAACACATTTGAAAAATGCGCAATGACGATGAGCCAACCTTCTCTACTTTTTGAGTTACAGGCGCCTTGAGAAGGCATCTAAAAATGATGTAGACTATTACCTAAAACCTTTTAAAATAATGATAACGATCCCTTTTCTTGGATTGTTGTTATTTTAAGGCTCAGTTTCCTAAAAAACTTACATTTTTATCCATTTAAAGTTTATTTTCTTAATAATAAGAACGCGTTTTAAGTTATAAACTCAAGCCGTCAATCTGAACCTATTATTCAGACAATTATTGGTACTAACATAACTTAGTTTCTAAATTATATTCTTTCTTTCTGCCAAAAATGCAGATACAACATCTTGAAATCACTTTAGAACAAAAAACCCTGTAATCAGTAAGCAAAGTGTTTTAAAAAGAACGAGTAGGATAGGAAAATGACAACACAAAAATTAATCTGGTTGAGACAGTTCCGATTCTCCGATGATTATAACTCTATTTCTGTTTTCGTGTCTTCTTTGGTCGCATACAAAGCATCCAAATTCAACAATGAAGAGGAAGGTTTTCTTTGAAGCGCAAAGAAGAATCGATTTTTAAACACTTGCACCAATCTTTCTTTTTACACATGGGCAGTTACTCTCCTTCAGAGCCATGAAAACTGTAGATTAGATTTTAGTACGTCCAAGGGCTTCTCCTGGACGCAATTGGAACGCCTGGCTCAGTGGGGGCAGAAGGGACTGGAGGAATTTTGTTATTGGCCTGCGCTCTAAAATGGACTAGACAGGCTTCAGATCAGATCAGATTTAGAGCGAAAAAAGCGAGTTCAGTGGGATAATTTTGCTTTTCACAAAAAGTATATCGTTCACCAAACATATTACCGCCAAATCATCGGATAACATCAATAGAACTGATCTCGTTTTACCTTGAAATATAACGAGAGTACGATTTTAATCCCACTTTGTATTAAGCCTTGCTGCTTGAAATAATAAAAGCAACTTTTAAAGAAGCGTTGATGCTTAGCTGATGAGCGCAAAATGTAGTTTTATTTGAAACCTTTGATTCTTTTGGTATTATTTTTTTGGTTGTTTGTTCCACAAAGACAAAAGCTTAAAGACACTGATATATTATGCCGTTTTGGGGAAAATAAAAGCTTAAAAATTAAAAACTCTAGCTAGACATGCAGTTAATTAAATCACTTACCTTTGAAGCAACTAAGCGTCTGTGTCGTCTGAATGGAATAAAAAGCTAAACAAGGAAAAGAAGAACGAGTGTTAGATTTCGCAATTTTAAAACAAGGAAAGAATCTAAAATATTACTATCAATTTACATCTCACACTTATACAGTCCTTTCTCCTCGACGTTCAGAACTAAAATGATTTCCTTGTTTGTTAGTCAGGCAAACTATTTTGCTTTGTTTATTGGTGTAAGGTTCGCTTAAGAACAAGTTTGTGGAACGGCAAACATAGTTCAATTATAATTTTCATTTTCACAAGCAATGCTATTCGCTAAAACTGTTTGCTTCTTGCCATTTGTCCAATGAGAAGACGTGTTATGTTTTCACATTTGCTCAGTCTGTTTACTTGTTCATATTCTTTTACGAATGAGTGCGAGTCGCAATTGTTCCTGTTTTATTTTTTTGTTGCAACTCCACGTAGTTTTTTCAGCCCAAAGGCAACATTTACTTACTTTTACTGTTGTGTTTACACTCCGAAACGAGTCCTTAGTAATATAATGGTTCTAGCACATGTACCTGTGATGGAACAAGGTCCAAATTCAGACTCTGAACAATGCAACTTCCATCTGTTTTAATTAATCTCTAAAATAAAATAAAGTCAAGCTGCGCAGAGTGTGAAGCTACTTTTATGCCTAGGCATCAGTTAATACAATTAATACGCAAAGTTTGTTAAATGAAATTAGGAAAATTGAAGGAAGGTGACTTCTTGTCGCAAAGTTTAAATCAAGACGAGTGTGTTATTATAGAGGTAGAACTACTTTGCCTTAAATCTCGGCTCAAGTGTGTGCACTGTTTACCGGAAAAGTTGAGTTTAGTGTACTTAACTGATAGATTGTTTTCCACCTGTTGAATGAGTTAAAATAAGACTAAGCTTGGTAGGTGAATCGTAGACTTATATAGTTTGCGCAATTTTGAAGTCTTGGATAAGAGTTCTGGAAAGTCAGTCAGTTATCAACTTATTTTTCGACGATTTCTCAGCTATCGGTTAAAATTTCAGCTTATTTCTCAGCCATATATGAATAAATTTTTAAAGATTACTAATCGAAGCTATTAATTAATGAGCGGGTCCTTTCTTTAGTAGTTGTTACAGACAGTAGTCATATACGCTTGTTGGGGCAGTAACCAATCAGCGTGCAGGGATCATACCACGTGACCACTATTTTCCCATACATTCTCTTAAATTTGTAAATCCAAGATGGCCGATATTCGCGAAACCTGGCGCATGCGCA